CAGAGCTGAGATGGGCAGGCACAGCGCTGGAGGTGGGGCTGGAAGGAGAGCAAGGGAGAGAGGGTCCATGGCAAGAGGTCAGCAGCAGGTAGGACTCCCAGTGAGAAAGGCACAGGATGTGGAGAGATTAAAACCACAGAAAGAAGAGTGTCTGAACTGCAAGGTGCCCAGGGAAAGGCTGCAAGACAAAGAGATGGAGATGGAAAAATGCAGCCCTGGGAATCATAAACAGGAAGTAGTGAGCAGCAGCTGACGGAGCAAAGCAGCTGCCCTGTCCAGGCCTTGCCAGGCAGAAGACCAGCCCTGCAGTCCTGTCGCTCACTCATTCATTTCACAGAAAGTGAAACACACACATACACACACACACACACACACACACACATACACACACACGAGAAAGAGAGAGAGAGAGAGAAGCACAGAGATACACAAAGAGATGAGAGACAAAGGCAAAGAGATAGAGAGAGGAAAAGTGAAATCCTAATCAAGCACACAGAGTGGGATCAGAGTAGCATTGAGGCTGGGGATTGAAACCTCCTTGGATGCACTGAGAGGACTTCCTGGAGGAGGCAGAGATGGAGGAAAGGATGAAGAAACAGCACCAAGGGTTATGCGAGACAGTAGACCTACAGGAACAAAGGGCAGAAGCAGGTCCCGAGGACTGTTCCTCAGCCTGAGGAACCTCTGAAAATGTTTACAAAAGGCAGCTCCATGTGTTTGAGCAGAAGCGCAGGAACCCCTAGCTAGAGGACAGATGGTGAGCACCGGAGGCAAGCAGCCAAAGCCCAGTGAAGAAGAAAAGTGCTGAGCTGAGGGAAGATGGGGGCAGGGGAGGCTGGGCTGCTGCCATGGGGCCAGCAACACTGCCAGAGCTGGAAGGCTGAGCAGCCAAGGGCAGCTAGAAGATGGCCTGTTGGAGGTGGGGACCAGGGGATGGTCTCTGTCTCTCTGGCTCCTTCACTCCATCTCCCGCCCCCATCTCTCTCTCTCTCTGTCTCTCTCTCTCTCTCTCTCTCTCTCTGGCTCCTGCTGTAGGACAGTTTCTGTCTTTAGTACCCAGGGGATGCCTACTTCAGTGAGTCTTCTTAGGAAACTGGAGCCTCCTGCTGGCTGGGAATAAGTCTTCCTCCCTTTCTACCCAAATGGCCTCGTGTCTAGAGGACCTGACGCCTTGCTACATACAGAAGTCAGATGGCTTGTGGAGCAGGTGTTAACGATGCCCAGGAAAGCCTTCTAAGAGATAGCTGGAAGCTACCCAGAATCCCCGAGGTGTCTGTCTGGAGAGAGAAGGGGGCAGGGTAGTCATAGCTCATAAAAAGAGACAAGAAAACAGAAGTTATAACAGTGTGACTCGGGGAGCATCAGGAGATCTGCCTAGAGAGGCCATTTGAGCTGGGCTTTGGAGGATGAATACAAGTTTTGTTGTGCTAAGAGCAAGGGAGAAAGGCACTGGAGGTTGAGGAGAGAGTATGGGAAAGCCTCTGAAAGACACTGTAGCTGATGGCGGGAACTCCTCCTTACCTCAGGATTTGTAGCCTTCAGCCTGTTTGATTTTACATGTAGTTCACTGCATGATCCACAGAGCTCAGCCTGGAGCTACGTGAATACAGCTACGGAGTAAGAGCTAGCGACTCCCCCACTTCTGTCTAGGACATGCCCTAAAATGGAAGGTCCTGGGCTCCCTGCCCCAAAGCATGGCACTGAGGAAAAGAGTGTAGCTGAGCCCTCTGCCCTCCATGATCAGCAGCAGCCAGGTGACTGTGCAGCCTGCTCCAACAGGCCCCAGCAGTGCCCTTGAAAACACATTTTGCCAACTTTGGGGGCAAATGTATCTCCTCTTCCACTCCTGGGGTCTCTTTCCAGTTGAACCCCCTGACTCCACTTGTGTGTTCTCAAGCTTGGCTCCAAGTGGACCAAACCAAGATAGGCACTGTCTGGAGCACAGGCCTGGAGGTACTGACAGTGCACCAGGGATGCTCACAGCTCTGAGACCCTCCTTCAGGCTGATCCTACTCATGGCAACAGACAACTGGGCTTCTTGCTGGGGCATTCTGCTTATCCAGATTCCCTTTCTGTCTGCAGAGATGAAGATGTGAGAGGAGAAGTGAGCCAGCAGCATGCGAGGGATCCACTGTCTCCTCTCTGTCTTTTTAGCCTGTCACGTGGGTCCTGGGGATGGCAGATTGATGTTCCCAATTACATTTGGCTCAAGATGACATTAAGTATTCGTCTTATTCCCAGAGCCCACAACAACAGCCGACAGTGGAGAAGGTGCCAAGAGGCATGCTGGGTAGCTGAGGATGACAATCTAGGATGAGAAGTGAGATGGGTGATGGGTGTTGGTTGCTGGTGTTCTTGGCTGGCCCATCAATGCTTTCTAGTAGGGTCATAGGGCTGGAGTAGCCTGGCATGAATCCATCCTCCTGTCTTAAGGGTCACCTACTCAAGACTACTGTTCCAACATGAAATCCAAATCCTTCTGATAGTGGTCAATTGGCTGATGGAAAATGTTTTTATGGGTCTAGTCTACATTTCTTCTGTTAGCAGAACAATTTTGTTTGAATTGTAGCTAGCGCACGTGTGTGTGTGTGTGTGTGTGTGTGTGTGTGTGTGTGTTGCTGGTAATTGAACCTGGAGCTATGGTGCACTCTATCTTTGTGTATGTATGTATATGTGCACATGTTTATGGTGGCCAGAGTCAACACTGGGTTCCTGATCATTCTCTGCCTTTACTGTAACCGATCTTTCCTTCCACCCTTCTCTATCCTTTCTATCCTTTCACTAACACTAAACAGGAGAGAAAAAACATAGAGGGGAAAGGGGGCAACATTATCATTGGATAGTTATGAACGTCGAGTCTCTTGGGGCAAGTTTGATCTTTGTTTTCAGGATATCTAATTTTTTCTAGTTGTTTCTTTTTTGCTTATGACTACTTAACAAACCTCAGCCCACACCAACCAATCTGCCTCTCAGGTCCATAGCATTTGTATTCCCTCTGCAAGACCCCAGATTACCAAGTGTCACATAGTCCCAGAAACTATCTGCAGCTGGCAAAATCACGATCCTGCTAAAGCACGAAGCAAATCATAGTCAGCTGCTGTGGACGATCTGAAGCAGCTTCATCTTAACCTGGGATTAAAACAAAAACATATTCCCATAATTATTTCTGTGTTTTTCAAAGAAACCAAAATTCTTGGGACATTTATTTTTGCTGTTATTGAGACAGGGTCTCTCACTGAGCCCAGAGCTCATTGTTCAGCTAGATGGGCTTGTCTGCACACTCTAGAGGTCTTTTTATCTTCCCCGGCCCCACACAAGGAGTACTAGCATGTGCTGGGGATATGAACTCAGGCCTCATTGCTCAAATGGCAACCTACTGACTAAGCCAATCTCCCCAGCTCCTCTATACCATCCGTGACTTGTTCTTGGCGACATTAAGTATTTGCTGGAGCCTTATGCATACTAGGCAAGCATTCGGTCACTGAGATACACCCGGTCTTTGAGTGTGTGTGTGTGTGTGTATGTGTGTGTGTGTGTGTGTGTGTGTGTGTACATGTGTGTCATGGCCAGAAGTCAACAATGGGTATCCTTCTCAAAATTCTTTGCCTTTATTTTTGTTACTATCGAGACAGGATGATAGAGGAAGAGAAATCATACCTGGAGGCCAGCTAGCTCCCTTCTATGCAACACATGGGAAAAAAAAAAAAAAAAACAAACTCAGACACTCTGAACTAAGTGTACCAGTGTACAGATCTGTGGTTGGAGTGTCAGGTAACGGTGGGGCTCCAGAAATGCGGTACAGCTGGACAGGTGCAGAGAATCAGGTGGGCGTCCTGGGCCACGGAAGACTTGAGGTCTCACATGACTACACCTAGGAGGGGTAGGGCACAGAGCCAAAGCCTGAGGCCTGAGGCTACATCTGCTCTCTCCCTAGAGACCTAGTGAGTTGCTTCAAGGCCCCAGGAGACTGACAGGTGTTTGTGTGCCTCCCAAAATGCATAAGAGGTCCAAAGATGGCAGCAAGCTGTGGAGGAACCCTGCAGCTCACAGACTCAAGTCCTGGCTGTCACTGCCATCCCAAGTTATCCCTCCCAAATCTGCCTACTCTTAGGGCTGCCAAAACTGAAACCAAAACCGAAACCTGTAAATAGCAACATTGGGATCTATAGCAATGCGCTTCCCAGATGTTGTCACTTGGGATTGTAGTACTGGTGTAGAGGAGAGCCAGGAGGGGGCGGGGCAAGCGTCCCACCTCCCTGTTCCCCTGCACTTTCCTCCACAGCAGGTGCTCAGATGTGGTCTGGGTCTGGCTGTTCCAGTGTAGTGCAGCGAAGAAATTCTGAGAGCAGGTGGCACAGTTCAGAGCCCGAGAAGGGAGTGAGGTGCCTCACTCCCTCACCCCAAGTACCTCCCTCGTTCCTCCATCCTCTGTGGCTGCAGCTCAAACCGGTTCTGTCTAGGTACTTGGTGGCCACATTCAGGCAATTGTACTTCAAATACCTGTACCTGCTACAGGTGCAGGTGACCTGGCCATGGTTCACACAGAACACCGGCACCTGTCATCTCCCCAAACAGTGATGTGGACGCTCTTGAGGAGGGTCAGTCCTATCTCTCCTGTAGAGAGATCCCTGTGTGTCCCTATGACTATACAACGCAGGGTCTACAAAGAAAGGCTTCGAAGAAGCTTCCCACCAAGCAGAGTCTAGCAAGCCAACTGGGCCCTATGCCCCTGTCCAAGTCACTTTCCTCCCCTGTCCTGTCTCTTCCAATGTAACATGGACCACGCTGGCCTTGGGCGAGCTCATCTCTGAGGACTTAGATGCAAAGGAGTGCTTCCAGGAGCCCTCCTGACCACCCTGGACTGGTGTGGCAGCTGTGGGACCCATAGCGGGTGGACTTTGAGAACCTCCAGGGGGCGACCGGACCTGGGGAAGGCTTCTCCGGGCGCGCCGCGCCCGTCCAGCGTGTGACTTCACCAGCGCCCAGAGCCAACGCGGCACCGAAGGCCGGGTCCCCGCCCACGGCCCCGGCTGCAGGTGCCAGGAGCCTGAAGCGGCAGCGCCTGGACGCGCGGGCCTGGGGACCGCCAGGCGCCGGGACTAGGCTCCCGCCTCTGCCTCCGCCTCTTCTTTGTAGCGAGTCCCCGGTCGGTCCTCCCCGCCCCCCTCGCGGCCCGCCGCCCGCCTTTCTTCCTGCCTCGCCTTCCTGCGGCGCGGCGGCCTCATCTATTATAGATGCTCGGCCGTGGCTGACATCAGCCAGCGGCCTCTCGAGCGCACGCTCCCCAGCCCGGCCCAGCCTCTCGCTGCCGCCCGCGCCCGGCCCCGCTGCCCGCTTTCTGCATGACTGTCACAAAGGTAAGCAGCGCAGATCGTCGCCGCTCTGGGAGTCCGCGGCAGCCCCCCGGGCCGGGGCTGAGGGGCGCAGGAAGGGATCTTGAGCGCGCGCGCTCCGGCTCCTAGGAGTCGCTCGGCCCCCGGGGGACTGCGGGATGCCGGGAGGGGATGCTCCTTTGCAGCTGTTCTGGACCGTGTGGACCACATCCCTGCGCGCCCCGGGGCTGCATTTTTTAATCCTTGTGGAAGATGCTGCAGTTTTAACCCCTGGAGAGCTGCTTCGGGCTGGCGGGTGCTCTGGCTGTCCCCGGTGTCAGCCGAGAGGACTGAGGGGCCCCACGCTGATGATGCAGGGACGGGCCGGCCAAACCTGGTCGGGCTCACAAGGGAAGCTACACCCCACCTGCCCGCCTCTGCTGTGTACCCCAGAAGCCCGGCCCCGTTCCCAAGCTCCCCCGTGGAGGTGCTGCCCAGATCCATGAGTAGCCGCCAGAGACAGGGAACATTCTACTGCATCTGGGTGGGGTGGGCAGGAGCGTGGCAGGGAAGAAGCGGGAGGGGGGGGGAGGGCGTCCTGGCAGACCCCAGATTGGAGGAGGTTCTTGGGCTGGTCACAGGAGCTCAGGTTTGTTGAAGAACTTTTTGGACTATCTTCCCTGCCTCAGAAAGGATGGAGTTAAGAGGAAATCCCGTTGAGGCAGTGGGATGAGCCCAGGCTAAGGCTGACCTGAGCCTCTACTGGGGAGGGCTAGGCCTGCTTTGGGACAGAGATAAGATGGGCCGGGGGGGGGGGCAGTGAAGGCTATGAACTGTACTCTTCCAGGCTCTGTCGGAGTCCAGACCTCACATCCTGGCAGCGGGCTTGGCCGTGGCCCTCGATTTAGCCATCCACACACCTCAGGCCAGACTCCACCTTTCCCAGCTGCTCAGCTGGCTCTCGCATCTGGGGAGGTGGAAAGCAAGCAGGACAGGCAACCCGCTGTGGTCAGAGCCAGCTGGGAAAGGCTGCGGTGTCCTTTCTAGAATCTTCTGATCGGCTCGGCGCCCCAGTGACAGGCTCACTCCGGCTCGGACTCCACTTCAGACCTTGTCGCTCTCAGTTCTGGGACTTGGGGGCGTTATCAGAATGTGCGCTGGAGAGCTGGGGAGCCTCTGCCTGGGCTTAGGGTGCCTCTTCTGTCAGGCTGGCTGTCTCAAGTGGCAGGGTGCTTAGTGCTTTAGCTGAACGCTGATGTCGTTAGGCTGAGGAACTATTACTGAGGTTGTAAATGTCACACCTGCTGGCTGGAGGGGGCCGGAGTAACTCCAGGTAAGGCGAAGAGGCACTAAGGCTGGCATCATCACACCGAGGTGCCGGCAACCTCTCCCGGCTGCAGACACAGGTTCAGACAACTTTTTTCCCTTGAATGTAAAACTCTATTTAACTGAGGAAGAAGCCAAGGCTCAGAGAAGTGCCGTGACTCACCTAAGGTCATGGTTATGGGAGGATGAGGTTTTACCCTCAAGTCTGTCAAAGTCTCCAACTGGAGACCTTCCCATTGCTCTGCAGTCTCGACCATGGACTTCCATGGCACAGGGACGCTACCTGGAGGCCTGGACTCTGGAAGGAATGGGACAGGGGGTTCATGAAGTGGGACCTGCTAGCCCACCGTCAGATCTTGCCTTTAGGTACACAAGGATTATGCTCTAACACTCGACACCTCCCCGCCCAGCCCCCAACAAACCCTTCTGTCTTTCTTGTCTCTTTGCTCAAACCAATGTGGCTTCAGCTTAAGCCAGATCAGAGGATTAAATAAAATCCCCATGTTAACCCTGTCCTCTCTCTGCACCAGCCCTGTACAGCACAACCCCATTCCTGTAAGGCACAGGAAGGCCCTGCTGTGAACAGGCTTTTCTGTTGCCCCGAGAGGAGAATACATGGCCTCTAGTCCTAGACTGGCCACTAACTGGGGATATGATCTTGGACCGGTTGTTTCGTCCTCAGGCTTCAGGCAGGAGCTGGTTCCAATAGGCCATGTCTTCTGCCCTGATAAGGTATACTTGGGACTGTTTGCCACCTGGAGGCAGTGCAGTTACTCACAGATTAAAAAGGAGATGCCAACAAAGAATGTGGGAGGAGGGATCACTATAAGAGAGAGTAACTGGCAATGATCCCCTGGTCATCTTGCTCCAGGTGAAGAGTCATGACGTCCTGCCCGTCCCCTGTGATAGCCTGGATCACAGGCTCTGAGCTCTCAGAAGGACTTGGCAGAGGAGAGAGGACAAACACAGGCAGGAAGTTGCTAGACTATCAGTGGCACTTCCTCACTGGAGCTGAGCCTCAGTTTCCCACTTTCTACTCGGTGTTTCTCCTTGCCCATGTGGAGCCACTGTACCAAAAGCCTAGGAAGCTGTGGAGGGGCCTCTGCCTTAAGTACCACTAGTGACACAGCCACGGTGTGACCTTCTGGCCTAGTGGCATGTTGGGACATCTTTCTTATGGGAGCAGGAGCAGCTTCCCAGCCAGCAGACACCCGGTCACAGCCGCACCGCTGCTTTTGCCCCTGTGACACTAGCCCTCTAAGGAGAGCCCAGACCACATTCACGCTCAGTTCTCGTGCCTTCCCTTCCTAGTGTTCTGTCGAGGTCCAGTCCCTGAGACGTGCTGTGCTGGCATTGCTCCCCGAACCTCGCAACATCTGAGCTGCAGTCAGATAGAAGAGCAGAGCAGAAAAGGTATCAGGACTGTGTGCAGAGTGCAAGTTCATGGGTGGAAAGGAAGCCTGTGGACTGTGTGGAGGCATTATGCGGGTCTCTGCCTGGCTCCTGGTTGAGCTATGACCAGAGGTACGGCTTGTGGGCCTAAGAAGAGGTCCCTTATCCTGGCTGGCTTTGCCCAGCCTCCTGTGTGCTGTGAAGAGTTAAAGCAGTGGTTCTCAACCGGTGGTGTCTGCCCCTTTGGGGTTGCTTATCAGATGTTTACATTGTGATTCCTAAGAGTAGCAAAACTATGCTTGTGAAGTAGCAACACAAAGAATTTTATGGTCGGGGGTCACCGCAACCTGAGGAACTGTATTAAAGGACTGCAGCTTTAGGAAGGTTGAGCTTTTTAGGCCCTGTGGCTAACTTGGAGATCACTCTGTACCCTGAGTGACAGGGGCCAGCTGTACATGAGCAGGACCTAGGGGTGAGCATGTGAGTAGAGGCCACCCTCAACAACAGCCACCTCCCGTCTGAACAGTGACTCTAGGAAAGGGGAACATTGTCACCACACCTATGCCCTTCTTTGTAGGCCAGCCTTCTCCCTCCTGCCTTAATCACAGCATCAGCCCTTGGTTGCCGCTGAAAGTGAAGGGACCAAGGATGGCATTGCCCTGCCCAGGAAACAGTGTTTGGCGAAGATCAGATGCTTCCTGATCTGTGGGGCCACCAGCAGAGGGAGAGCAGAGTGTTAGCACCGGCAAACATCTTACGCTTTTCTTTGAAAAATGAGGGATCCAAGATTCTGGGAGCAGAGGTCGTGACCTGCTCTAGCCATTGGCCAGCCTGGGGCTGGAGGGCTGAAAGCTGGTCTTCAAAGGGACCTCAGGAAGCCTGAGTGGTAGTGTTCAGCCTGATTCTAGTAACCCTCCACTCTCAGCATTCTCTGTCTGTGCTGCTGGGATCTGGACTCCCCCTCTGCTGGGCCATCTCCTCATCCAGTGTGTGTGTGTGTGTGTGCCCCTGACTGGGAAGGAGGTAGGCTACAGGTCACAAGCCTGGTGTAATGCCCTCAAGTGCCAGAGCAGACCCATCTCTCCATCCCACAACCCCTCCTGCCTCCTCTTGCCTCTTGTCCTGCTTCCAGGTGTCCGGTACAAGGTGTGTGGCTCAGCCATTCAGCTTCACTCAGCCCTTATCCTCAGAACACCTACCTGGACCAAGCCATGGCTAGTTCCCAGGGACATGGAATACATGACCCACAGTCCCTGCCCTCCAGAACCTCAGAGGAGCAGATGGAAGGGATGAGACAGAGTCCCAAGTTGGATCTCAAGGCTGTGTGGGTGGCAATCAGGAGCAGTCAGTCCTGCCTGCATGCTGTAAGCACTCAATAGATGCAAGCTCCTTCATTCTTCCCTCCTTCCCCCTTCTTTCCTTTCTTCCTTTTCTTGCTTCTTTCCTTCTGTCTTCCTTTCCATCTCTGCCACAAGGTAGTAAAACTCATTCTCTAGAAAAGGCATTAGTCCTTTTTTTTTTTTTTTTTTTTTACTAGTCCCAGAGGCCCTGTGCCCCTGTGTTCTCTAATGGGAGACCTCACCCCATAGGCACCTGTGGCCACTCTTAGAATCGTCTGGGAAGAACTGTGAAGCCAGTGCAGACCTGGCTGCACTGCAAGTTAGAAGCACAGCTGCTGGCAGGACCCTGGCCTGGCAGCATCAGGCCTGGAGACTCAGGGATGGAGTGAGTTTTTCCACTGCTTTTGGGCAGGCCCGGCAAACTGGAGCAGACACAGCCCCAGCCAGCACCGCTGTAGGCCCCCAATGCCAGCAGAGTCTCGGCTCCTGGCACCAGAGCAGCCAGTGACTGATTTGCATCTGCCTGGCACACAGAGCAGATAGGCTATCCAGAAGATGAGGGAATGTGTGGAGTCCCTGTGTGCCCAGCCCTGCCCCTTCCCCTTTCTGTAGAGTAGCTACATTGAGTAGCTACATTGACTGCCCTGATATTACTAGGAGGCCTCTGGGGACCCAGGCCCCATCTCCAGAGCAGCCTGGGCAGCTGGGAGCAGCTGGCACAGGGAAGGCAGGCCTTGCCAGGGCAGGGCAGATGCAAAGCCAGTGGCTGCCACATGAGAAGGAACTGTTTAGAATGAGCCTCCCTTTGTGGGTCTGGAGTGGCACCAGCTGCTTGGGGGCATGAAGGAGTGGGGGAGGGGAGAGCTACTATTCCTTCCTTCTCTCTCTCACCCCTGCAGAGGCCCCTGGAGGGACTTTGTAATCAGTTTCTGGCTGGGTCCTTCCTTCTAATTAATTAAAGAAACACTGGGGGCTGTGCAGGTTTTG